CACGCCGCGAGCTCGGGGGACGGCGGCCCGCCCGCGCCGGCCCTGCCCTGCCCTGCCCTGCCCGCCCCGAGCAGCCCCTCCGGCCGCACCGCAAACACGGCACCGCAAACACGGCACCGCAACACCGCGAAACGGCCCGCAGCACCGCAAACACAGCACCGCAGCACCGCAAACACAGCACCGCAACACCGCGAAACGGCCCGCAGCACCGCAAACACGGCACCGCAACACCGCGAAACGGCCCGCCGCACCGCAAACACAGCCTGGCAGCACCGCAAACCCAGCACCGCAAACCCGGCCGGGCAAACGCAGCCCGGCAGCACCGCAAACACAGCCTGGCAGCACCGCAAACCCAGCACCGCAAACCCGGCCGGGCAAACGCAGCCCGGCAGCACCGCAAACACAGCCTGGCAGCACCGCAAACACAGCCTGGCAGCACCGCAAACACAGCACCGCAACACCGCGAAACGGCCCGCAGCACCGCAAACACAGCCTGGCAGCACCGCAAACACAGCACCGCAAACGCGGCCGCCAGTACCACAAACAGCCCGGCAGCATCGCAAACCCGGCCCGCAGAACCGCAAACACAGCCGGGCAAGCCCAGCCGGGCAAACACAGCCCGGCAGCACCGCAAACACAGCACCGCAAACCCGGCCGGGCAAACGCAGCCCGGCAGCACCGCAAACACAGCACCGCAAACCCAGCCTGGCGGCACCACAAACCCAGCCCGCAGATGCCGACCTGGGCTGCGTGGGTTTCCCTCACACCGCGACTCAGATGCCCAGCTCTGCCATAGAAGCCTGGTGCCACCTGCAAATGCAGATCTGCTGTAATGAACTACAGCTCCTGCCCCACCTGAGGATCGCAGTGCCCGGAGGACAGAGCAGAGGGACCCTCGTGGCACTGCCTGGGACACGCTGACAGCACCAGCGACAGGGCTTCTCCACCCCCAGCAGCATCCTCCGGGCATTCTGCACCCCCAGCAGCATCCTCCCCCTGCACTAAGGGGAAGACTAGCCCCATCCCCATCTTCCTAAAGATGCTGCTTCATCATCTTCCTATTTCCCACCGCCCTCCTATGCAGGTCACTGACACAGCCCCCACAATCACACCCTGGGAAGCGATGCTGCCAGCGTGCATGCAAACCACAGATGAGAAAAAGCTACAGTCTTTTTCTGGGACATAGTGATCAGAACAACCAACTCCAGGGGAAGGAAAACACACCTAACAGAGCTAATGAGATTACAACAGGCACCGTGTGTTCTTTGCCAGGACACTTGAAATCGTGCCAAGTTTTTAATCCCTGCTAGCAAGAGACAAACAACTACACAATTACTTGCAAACACAGGTTAACAACTAAGTGTCCTTGTGGTAAACACAGATACTAATTTGCTTCAACTGCCTAAAACCCTGAAGTTTGGGGTCATCCTGCACCAGCAGTCACTACTCCTCAGTGCTTGGGATATTGAATTCTTAGGTCTTGAAAACTTGTTCTGTAACAAATGTCCAGGCAAACCAGTTTGGTTCTTGCACCTGTGCCACGCTTCCCAGCCGTGACAGATGAGCACCAAGAGATCTGAAAGCAGAGACTGTGCTGCTGGGCCCGTGTGCCAGCAGGTCCACCAGACCCACCAGGCATCCCTGCAGCCTCGTGCAGGAATGCCAGCACATCAGAGCGCTTCTGGAAGCCTCAACACATCTCCCAGCCTTCAGTCAAGGTGCACTGCAACTTGTCCTCCCACCATCCACTCCTGCACTGCACAAAATGACATGTGTTATTTTGTTAGGAACATCTGCTCCCTGTGAGAGCCTCAGGACAGGGAGCTGCCAATGCCAGCAAGAAGAGCTCTGCCACAAAGCTGTGGAACAGCTCTAAGCAGGGTTTTCTCCTGTTCATCAGCTTGGTAACCAATCCATACCAATTGATTTTTCCAAACACCAAGAAGAGTTAGAGCAGCAAATTGATGCATTTTATATGCTAAAGCCAATGCAAGTTAAAGGCCACCGTTTCCAAACAAGGTATTTCACTCTCATTACACAAGTAGTCACCCCTAACAAGAAAGGAAAGAGAGCATGAAGGCAGCACCCAAAATGAAAACAGATGAAAACTAGCTTCTGTGCTCTCATGTACTGACAGGAAAAATATTCCTGCTAAGGCTCCCCAAATTGTGTTTTACTCCCAAGTTTGTAATAAGTTTTCTGTTAGGATTTGGACAATCACCCACTCAGAGAGAAATCCTGCTCCTGTTGAGGTCAGTGACACACTGAGCCTGAATTCCACCCTTCCTTCTTCAGGCTGCCAGCCACAAAAAGAAAAGCATTATTCCAAGGAGCTGATGCCTCGAAGGTAAATCTTCAGAACACAAAGAAATACTAGATGTATATTTGGTATGAACAGTTACTTGAAGAAAAGGTGTTTTGTCATAGTTTGTTGTCTACCTGAAAACAGCCAGAAATGTCAGCTTTAAAAATAGCCTTTGAGCAGAAATAAAGCCTGACGTCAGACCAGAGGTTTATCTTCAATATCCCCACTAAATAAAGAAGATGTTAGCATAGAATTATCTTTTTTTATCTGCATAAACTATTTTCCCATCACTTGGAAATTCTCTGGTGATACCCACTCAGTCACTGAGGAGTCCCCAGAAGATACACTGTCTGCAAAGCCCAGCTGATACATGAGACAGCTCCTTTGGGCTGTGGCTGGTAAGATGGGAGCGACTGTAACCAATCCAGAGGGAGAACCATAGGGACAGGACAGGAAAAGGACCGAACTTCTTATTTTTCTTTCAATTAGAACTGATTTAGGGGTTGATGGTTTCTAGACCCCACCTAGCAGAGCAGTCACTACTAAAGACTCTTGTGATCCACAGGTGGGTCTTAAAGTTCACCTTTTGAAATTTGGAAGCATTTGCCACTTGTCTTGGGAATATTGCAACATTGGTTTGGCCAAGGCAGAACCTTGCCTTCACTGAATATCAAGATACAAGGACTGAAAGCAAATTAAAAAGTGATTCTCAGAAGAGACAGAAGAGAGAAATAACACTGAGGAATCATTCCTTAGGAGGGTAACAGAGATGACTTAGTTGTCTCCTGAGCTGGGTCAATGAAAATGATTAAGAAACAGCCTCACAAATCAATGGAAAGGTTATCTGGAAATGTCCAGGAAAGTGAATCTGACACAGAAGAGACCCCTGTTACGTCCCCTTATTGCTATAAAGAAATGTGCAGACAGATTAACAATGCATTTCCCCCCTCATTACAGTCTTTGACACAAAAATAAGGTAACTCCCTGCACTGAGAATGCTCCCTAAGAGGCACTGTTTTCACTGTTCCTGTAACTGGGATTGCTGGACATCCCTCTCTATCTCAATCCACACGTCTCCCAAAGAAAGATGTAGAAAGCTGGGCAGGCAAGAAGCCCAACACTGAAGGGGAAGATGGCAGGGAAGAATGCTATTTTTATGCTTAGAGAAAGTGGAAGCTGAAAACACCAGTCTCAATGACATGAGAGCTGTCAGCAAGAACACATAATTACACAACGTGAATTCATCCTCATGACAATGACTCTAATGAGATAGGAAATGGAATAAAATCAATATTCTATTTACACTGACGGGGCAGTCTCAAAGCTTGAAATTGCCAAATGGCTGTCTTTTAAATCAAGGAACACAAAATTACTGACTCCTTACAGTATTTTCAAAACACCTCTGCCAAACTCAAAGTTTACCAATAACATATCTCAATATAAAATTTGGAAGAGATACAGCAATTACTCCACGGCACAATTGAGGGATATAATTATAGCACTGTCACAAAATTAAGCTGAAACAATGAGCTAATTGACATCTTGTCACATAACAGTATAGGATTGGATAAAGGAAAATATTCTTTAGTAAACTGCATCCGAAGCACCCAATTGTCTCACACTCTGGGCTGCACCCGCTGCTCCCACAGGACAGCCGGAAATGCAAGATGATTCCTCTCACCATTCTGTACTACTGTATATTTCAGGAAAAAATGGGAGGGCAAAGGCAGGAGCAGAGAGCAGCCAGCTCTAGAGCAGGACTGCCAGGGCACTGTAGCCTGGGCTGGGTTTCACAGCTCCCCAGCCCAGCAACCTGGGACTGGGAGCCTGCTAAAACTGCAGGCACATGTCAGCTTTGAACTACCAAGTGCCACACCAGATTAGTAAAAAAACTGCCAACACTGCTTCTATGACACAGATATTTTGCATGACATACATAGTTTTACTACTACTACTACGAGTAGTAGTGTTTTAAAGGTTTTTTCTGTACTGTTTTAGCTCTAACAGACTTTCCTGGTGCAACCTCCCACTGACTTCAGTGGCTCCTCCAGCACATCCCCATCAGACGTGGTTTTATCTTGAGTCTATTTCACAGTTTCTGAAACTGTTTTAGCAGAACCACCTAACTGTGACACTCCATCTGAATTTAACACACCCAAGTGTACTCGGTTCATGAAAACTTGATAAATAATGAAAAAGGAGGCAACATGTTGTACACTACATGCCCCCGCCACGTGCAGAAATCAGGTATTGCCCAAGATTTCCATCCCTGATCAAACTGCAGACCAATTCTCACCAGCAGCGCATGGGCACTGACATACAAATCCCACAGCCCAATCCTCTCTTACTTTAGATTACAGTAATGCTATTTCCAAGTCAGAAAGCTACACTGCAAATTCCATAAACCCTCTTTCCTTTAAGAAGCAGACGGTTATGGATTAACTGCTCTTGCTATAAATTTAAAAATATTAAAGTCAAGAAACATGCCTGTTGATTTTTTTTTAATAACCTGGGGTATATATCAATCTCTGTTACAAAATCT